AGCTATATTATCCAATAACCAAACAAGATAGAAAGTGTCATGTAGAAAAATCAGATAGTTCAACCAAATCACAAGGAATGCATAAGCATTTGTTTAAAAGAAAAAGCAAAGCATAAGACAACAACCCCTAGATTTCTACACAAGGCACATAAAGGAAGATGATGACTTAGCAAACTGATTTAAAGAAAAACGGGAAACCATTTAAAGTTTTCTAAACCATTCAGCTGTCATATGTAACACGGAAGTAAAACTATACCATATACAAAAGCAGTAAAACTCCATGCTTAAAATGCTAGCCTAGAACTGTCACACTAAAATCGCTCCTACTGTTATAAGCCTGTTATTCTGGAATAAAAGAAAGCTACTGAACACTGGTACAACACAAGGTAAACACCAGAAGCATACAAGACATTGACTAGCGTGATGGAAATCCGTCAAATCACTGGAAAGCTCACACACTGCACCCAGTAAAACTCTATTCTTTCTTCTTGGCCTAAAGTATCATGTACCATCCTAATCTTGCTAAAATATCTCAAATGAAACATATTTCCTTCTTTTCTCCCGAGGTTTAGTGTTAGAGACAACAAGGTAAAAAAGGACTCTGAAGTTTGAACTTCACGTAAAAATTGCAGCAATCTATAATGAACCTACGGATATCACATCACACAACCCAAAGCAGCAAAGAAATCAAACAACAGACAAAGAGTAACTAAGCCCCAACTTAGCAAGAAGGAAAATCACGACAATCTCAAATCCCAAAATTCCAAAATTGCCGTTAGGATTCATAAACCTTCTTCCATAATAAGCAACCACCACACACCAAAACAACAAGGAGACAACAGCAACATTAACACAAGAAAGCAAGAAGACTTCACTCACGACCAAAATGCCGCCCCCTCTCTTCGCATCCATAGTAGTATTTAGAATACTGCGATTGCCAAATATCAATTGGCTCATCCTCACCTCCATCCTACAAACATTCAATTAAAACACGGTTAGCATCATCATTATCAGTAGCATCAAGAAACACATTGGTGTTATGTAATGTTGTTACGAACCAGTGTGGAGAGGGTACGGCGGTGGAGTCGGTGAGAGTACCATTCGAGATGAGAGGCGACGTGACCCGTCAAGAGGGAAATCAGGCCCAACCCGAATAGCATTACCCCACAAACCATCGACCAAGACACGTGCTTGCCATTAGGGTGCAAAAGAGCCAGGCTGGTCCGAAACCACCGACCCGTCCACACACCGTTTCCCATTTCACATCACCAAAACCATCTCCGATTCCTCATTCCGAGTAATAGAAAAGCCGAGGCAACGAAAAACCCTGATTTAGGGTTTTGCAGAAATGTAAATGGAAGAGTGCGCAGGGGTAGAAGAAGAAGAAGAAGAAGGATTTTTTTTTTTGTTTGCTTTCCCAAAATGAAAATGAAAATGTCTGAGATGTTTAAATTTTATGTGTGATTTAGTTTGGTTTGTTTTGGTTTACCTAGATTCCGTTATTAATAGAAATATATGAGGTGAGAAATAATGTCTGAAAGTGGTTTTATTAGTTAAGACAGAGAAAAAAGAGAGGAAAACACATCATAGATTCTAGTGTGTGTGTGTCACATGATGCATAGATACAATTGGCATGTCAAAATTCAAGTCAAAATTTGCATAATACATCATATGACACACTACACATTAAAGAAAAAGAAATGGCACATACTATGTAGCTCATGTTTACATTATGGTATTACTAAAACTGTTTTATACTATAAGTGTATCATCTTTAAACCTTTTTTTTATCAATGATTTTGAAAGTTAAAAATGAAACTCCTTAAATTTTATGACCCTTCCTCGATTAATTTCAGTGCATTAAATTTCTAATAAATATAAGTGTTTTAAACAATACTTCCTTGATTAATTTCGAACAGATTGACCTTTAAATACAATTTAATGTTGATTAGCATTTTTAATTGTTTATTAATATTCAAATCTTATTTAATTTTATCTTAGATATGTTGGGATATTTAATGAGGTATTTCAAAAGATTAGAAATAAAATAATAATAACGACGTTTAATAAGTATAATTACTTAAAGTAATTATGTCTTTACCTTAAAAAAAAAGAAATGTGGAAAAAGGGTATTTGTGGCATTTCATTCGCCAAACTTGTAGATCTAATCTCAGGTCACACAGTATACGTGATGTCTATGTCTGCCATTCAAACTTCAGTAATTAGCATAGTTCAAAGTCAAAAAAGAAAAGAAAAGAAAAATAGAGAGTAAATTAGAATCCCAGAAAGAGCTAGATTTATACGTATAATATATATCCAGACGAGACTCATAAAATTTTATTTGTAATTCTTATATAATATACTACTTTTTAGAAATTATATGTAAATGGAGTGTCATATATCTGTTTGATCCTATACGATATGTTGAAATTATATCCAAGATATTTAATTAATTGCTTTGTTTTTAATAAAGTTAACATCTTCATATAACTAGACCAGTGTAGCAACTTCAAGTATATCCGCAACATGTTTCTAGTTTTTAAAGAACATTAAGTAGACACGTGGATCAATGTAGTTATCCATGAAAATAATGCTTCAATTAGATGTAACAAGTATGCTAGTGTGATACACTCTCATTATTGTTACTCACAATATTTATTATAAACATCTTTTAATTAGTTGAGCCTAACTTAGGAAGTACGTGTTTGTTTCATCTTAGCCCTAGTGTGATTCATGCTCAGTGGTTGATTATAGCAAACTAAGATTTTTCAATCCAATGTTACATTCTGGCATAATTGTCCTACTATAGGTAGGTGTAGCATCACAATCACATTATCTAATGTGTCAATTATCTCACTAATCAGGACATGAAAATTGTTTGTCTCTCTATGTCACATCTCAACAAATGTTAATATCAAACCTTTGTTAAGTAAGAAATATCATACAGAGACATTAAACCAAAATTTAACACAAAAATGTTGGATAGCCACATGACATGTTCCAAACTTGTTTAATTTTTTTTCCACGAAGAAACTAACTTGGTATTCTCTTGGTCCCACACAAAACAATTAGATATAAAGTTCAAACAATTCATCAACCATTAAAATTCAAGTACAATAATAATCTTATCCTACCACAACACATATACAACATTATCCACCTAGTTCGTCAAGAGTGATGTATCATATCGACCTCTTGAAAATCTACCTATTTTATCTTGTTCTTGAACAACATCCTCGTGTTGCTCAAGAACATCATTTTGTTGTCCAATAACATTCTCATACTCCTCATGAACATCAACATCATGTAATGCATCAACTTCTTCGAGGCAACTCCTTTTACGAAATATCGTAGGTCTTCTTCTCTATTCATCTTATAAAGAACCCTCAGTCTGATATGTAGATACACTTCATATATTCTTGCCATATCTGTAACAAAAATATTCATTAAATATTAAAACACGGATAAAAATATAGAAACACAAAAGAAAAAAAAAATATAGAAACCAAAATTTGAAATTCATGAAAGACTTAACTAGATTTCAAAATTAAAAATGAATTTAACCGGATTTCAAAATCCTTATAAGCCCTCACCATATTTTGTATTGGTCCTAAATCTAGTAGATCCTTAATCAATTTTTGAAATTGTGATAACAATCACTGGATTTCAACCAAAATCACACAAATTCGTCCATATAAATTGTAAAATTCAAATGAAAACCAATAAATCTCAACGACAACAATTGTGTACCTATCTTGTCTCGCATGTACAGGGATGAAAAACAAGTTTTTTTATAGTGTAGTAAGAAAGAAAGCTTCGCGATAACTGCGATAGTATGCAAATTTAGGCTCTGTTCACATGAAGGGATTTTACTGCTCAAGAAGAAAGGCGAGCGTAGATTTGAGCTTATTTGCGAGATTTGTAACTTTTTCATCACTCACGAAACTACCCAAATTTGAGAGGATTGCGCTTAAAAAGTAACATTTGTCCTCAACTTATTCCATAATACCACAGTGCATTAGTTTATTTTTTGGTCAAGTTTTCTTTTTTTTGAGCTTGCACGGATGTTTGCTAGAGATGAAAACCAAGAACGAGACCGGTATATGGTTCATGTGAGGTCGATGGTTATATTGAAGATGAAGATGAATAACAAAGTGCTAGAAGATGAAGAAGATGAAGAGGAGTGGTTGAAGATGAAAAACAAAGTTTGAAGGAATTGGGTTCTTCAGGTACGTATTTGGTTCCACGTGAACCATATTCGGTTTCGACACTATGAATAAATATAAAGGAACCTATATTCGATTCCTCTATATTGTATTCAGTTCCCCATGAGTGAAACCATGATGTATCCGACTCCATTGGTGTGTATTTAGTTTCATTAGTGTATATCTGGTTCCATTGATGTATTGAGTTCCAACACTCCTTTAATTTGTTTTATCACATCATGTAAAACATAGAAGTTCTCTCTCCCTTCTTTACTTATGAAAAAATGATAATTTTAACTTCAATTTTTAAAATTTTTTACACTAAATCTTTAGTGTCAAAGCAAGAGAAACATATACAAGCAGATAATTCCATCTTCAATGAGGAAACAAAATAATAACTAATAATAATAATAACTAATAATAATAATTAATAATAGTAATAAAAATAATTAATAAGAGTAATAATAATAATAATTTTTTCAAGGTAAACACATCCTTAAAAAGGTGGAAAGGAAAAAGGTGCAGATGCTTGCGGTGGTGCGCTAAGTTAAATTTTGAAACTTGAGTAAATGACGTGGTTATGCACTTTAATAGAACAGAAAAAAAGTAAAAAAAAAATTTACCCTATGTCATCTATCAAAGGTTAATTCTAGAATTAAATGAAATTTTGGAAATGCAGAAAGAAGGATTTGGAGGTGCAGGAAGAATCCCCTTAAAGGATGGGAGAGGTGGGGCTCAACCTGTCAAAAGGCCCAATAGTTTTAATTTCGAAGAAAATAGATAAAATTAAAATAATCTCATAAAGAAACAGGCAAAACCCTAAACCCTTTCTGCGCTGTTCTGTCTCCTCTTCCGATCTGATCTATCGTCAATGGCTTCCGCGTGCAGCAGAATTGCGCAACGAACGTTATTTTCGTCTGCAAAATCCGTCATTAAGTCCAATTTTCGCGCTTCTTCCAAACCAACTTCAACTTCCGTTCCTCTTCGACAATCCTTGTTGACCAGGTTTCCCTTCCATCTACGACTTTCGTTTCTGTTCCTAATCGCAAAACCTCTGAAATAATCCATTTCTTTGTTGTGGTTGGTCTGTTGTAGGATCTCGCCGGAACTGAGATGCGCACAGTCGCTGTTGCCGCTGCACAGTGCGGTGGCGGCAGCTAGAATGACTTCTTGCTTGAGCGTAACTTCCAGAAGCTGCCGAGCGCTTTCTCAGGGTACTCTCTGCTGCACCTCTCCCGGCCTCTAATACTTTCTTTTTCAAAATTATACGCAAAGTGTGAGTAGCTTCTTTGCTTCTCCGATTGTGTTATTCTTTCGATTTTCTTTCGATTTTCTTTCTCTTTCCATTTCTGAATAAATCGTTTTGAGCAAACTACAACAAATAATACAAAACCTAATACGTTTATTCTATTTCTTTGTTTAATTAGGACCCATGCTCTGGTATTTCTCTTATGTAATTAAAAGTATTTCGTTGGAGTTTAATTGGCGAGTTTCAGTTTCCAAACTTATTCAAAAGGCTGTAGCCTTTTTGCTTCTGCTCGTTAAATTTTAGCATCATTTGGCCTCTTCATGATACTGTTGCATCAAATGTGGGTAGTTGATACTAAATGATGTATGGAGAATGAACCAAAAAAATGCAATACAGATATTTTAGCCAAAAAAGAGGGTGCAGGGAAGTTTAGAATTAGGAAGCTATAGATAATTAAGCCAGCCGTTATAGATACTAAGCTAGATAATTTGTTCTGACGATAGCATAATTTCAACATGCCGTGTCTAATCAAGAATGTATATTTTTTTAGTCCTTCAGACGGCATTGTGTGGCTTAGTTGGGGTGTTATGGTTCAGTAGATGGGTTTATGGAAAACAATTGGTGGCTGTGAGTAAGACGTAATAGTGCTTTAACCAGGAGTTTTGTCGTTAACTAACTGTAAAATTTGGTTCCTGCAGGCACATAGTAATTTGGATTTTGCGGGACAAGCCAATTATGGCGTACTGCTTCATTATCAAGTATGAAAAAATTAGCGTTTATTTAACATAGTGTAATCTCTTCAACCAATATTAGAATGGCTTCGATTTCTGCTATCTTTAAAACAAAGTCTGTTGGCAGCTTCTGCAGATATTTGAAGTCTAAATGGATGTCCTTTGTGATAGTGTCGTCGTTTTTCTTTTTTGTGTGGGAAATGAAATTGTGAGGGAGAAAGAAGTTAGAGGATGTATCTTGTATAATACTATAAAGTCTATATTCATTGACAGTTTCCATTTCTCACACTCTCTTCTCTCGAATGTTTCCTAAGCAAAGGAAATAATGATGTCCCACTTTTCTATATAATAAATCGATGATCTGTGTTTTCTTTGACACATGTATTCTCACTCTCCCATTAGTAAAAACAGTGTCAAATCAGTGTAGGTGTGTCAACCTACCAGTTTACTACATAATATGGTGAGCTGGCAGTCCTGTATGATTTTTAGAAAATAGCCATTTCATTTACATATAAAGCCTTTTGTTAATGATTTCAACTCATTACCTTGATCTATTATATTCTATCGTACTCTGTAACCTTCATTTCTAGGGTGATGAGCGCGACGAATTTAAATAATTAAACATATAAGTACACAAACTGCTTCCTGTTGAGTGATTTGTAATTGAGATTCATGGAATTCTGGAAGAAAGTCACCCTCAGTCAGGACTCCAGCGCATTAGCACCCGAGCTGGAAATACCACTTCCCTAACTAATCACGTTTGCAAATAATGCATGTCTTAAACTTTATTAATGATTGAGAATGAGTATACTGGTTTAACGTGTTTTTGTGTTAACAATGATTTGTTGGATTAAGTTTTCATCAGTGGTTTGGAGATATTTGATAAAACAAATGGAAGGCCTTATATTGGTACGTAGGGAAATTAGGCAGTGAATTGGGCATTGGTGCAATGGATAATTAAAGGACAGTTATGATAGCCAATCAGACTCTTGAATGCAAATGTTTGTCTTAAGTTTATGATATTTTGACTTTTCACTTTATAGTAAATAAATATAACACGATAACATAACTGCTACTTTCATCAGATGGAATTGATGGGACGTGAGACATGCATGCTGTTTTTAAGGTGTGGTATTTTGTCTTTGCTGTCCGAATAGTTTGGACAATCATCTTCTCTATTAGCATGTCTATCAATTTGTGCTTAGAACATATGTTTAGACATGGTGTGAATAACAGAGCTTATAAATTTCATTAACCATAATTACCCTTATTGACCTTGACATCATTGCAACTCAATGGGCCTTTGATTTAATTAGTGTTTTTTAACTCAAGCATGTTACTAACCGTGTCTTTATTTTATTTTAGAGCTTGGTTTATCAGTGCCAAGGTGATACCTGCTACGAGAGAGATTGAAGAAGGCCTTGTGTTTGTGAGGATATCTAGATGATTAAACCCTAATGCGCAGTAAGCGGCTGTAAACACTGTGATTCTTTCAGTCTGAGAAAATGAATATCTGCTGAATAAAAGATTCTCGCCCTGAATGTTACATTTATTCACTTGCCTTCCCCGCTAGTGTTTACTGCCGTCTTTACTTTTAAGCCCAAGTTCTTCAGTTATTACAATTATTGCAATTAATAAACCCCAAAACACATTCTAAGTATGATATTTAGGGTATATGATTTTTTAAAAAGGATTTTTATGAAAATTAGGAAGAAAAATGTATTAGTTTTTTATAAATTAGAATTATATTATTCACGACTTTTTTTAAATGATGTGAAAGAGTAGTTAAAAATTAGTTTCTGGATAAGTTCATTTTAGTTTAGAGTGAAATATCAATTTTTCATTTTCTCTTTTGACAGTCGTTGTGGACTTGTCCAAATAAACCTTTTTTTATCAAATCATTGCCTACTGCCACTGCAACTTGATCTCAAACGAAAATGTCTCTGCCAGTAAAACCTCTTTTTCACAGCCACAGTTACCCTGCATGCGTCAGTGTGGATTTGAATTCAAGTAGATGAAGATTGGGACCAAGTTACCAAGCTCAAGAAAGAAAACTAGTAATACTCGACCTATTTTATTAACAATAAACTCTATAATATCATTAGTTTAAGTTGTCTTTTAAAAACGTAACCAAACAAATCTCATGAAAAATAATATTCCAAAAGAAAATATCATATTTAGTACGGAATGGTTACTAGACAGAGATTTGTTCGGCCCCATTGGCTAGCCTCAGTCATCAAAACCCCAATGAATGAACAGACAAAATATGTATGGGTTTGAAAAACATAAGTTGGCCAAGGCACTCAGAATATTGAAAAAGACAATTCTTATTGAACGGGTAAGATTGAATCTTAGAAATTTGGAAATCATAAACTAAATAGCGGAAATAGCTAACAACAATAGTGATGGGTAATTAGGATTTGAATATAAGTTGGGAAACGTATGAAATAGTTTGTAAATGAGTGATTTGGGAGGATGGTGAGGAACCTTTGTCGCGGACGGCATACAAGGTCATAAAGGTGAGGGAAAGGCCTCTCCCATCCAACGCAACACTTTGTTGCTACTACGTTTGGTCTTAAGATGAACTTCAATCTGCTGTGGAAACTGAGCAAAGGCAGCAGTCTCGGTTACGAAGCACTCCCATACGCCTTAGCTCCTTCACATCCTCTTGTTGAATGAGAGGGCAGAGTAGAGGTGATCTCCAAATCGTTCCGAAACCCTAGGCACATGGAAATAAGAGCCATTGAACCACCGACGACGATGACTATAGGAGGAAGTTTTAATTGTCCATTCATGAAAATTGGATATAAAGAATTTGAAGATTTAGTTATTCGAACGGTCCCAATCCTGTACTTTCTGAGGTGCAGGCATCTATTCGGCATCTTTATTTCCCTACAGCTTTGTAAATAGTCTAGAAGATGAACCGGTTCCTCTTCGTCTTGTTCATCTTCTTGTATTGCTCGGTTCTGATGCCTGCCCTATACCATTCACTAATAGGAAATTGTGCATGCATCTCTTGAACTTCGCTTTGTCATTGCATAACAGCTTCAGCAATTGGTAAATAATTCTGACTTACAAGTTACTGGGGTCCAGAAATGGAGATAAGGTGGGAGACTAGCGTCAATTGCCTCACAAAGTTTTCTATCGTGTGTAAACAACTGCTCGAGGTTAGACTTCATTTTTAAATTGTTTGATTTTCTTTTTCTCTTATTGTTTTCAATCTTTCTTTTGACAGTAAAGATAAAAGTAAGTGTTCTTGATGAATAAAAAGTATATAATTGTTTTGTATTATTTGTTTATATGCACGATGAAAGTGATATAATATATATGCCAAAGAAATAAAAGCTCATTCATATTATATTAGAAAACAAATGAATTATAATAATTTGACATAAATATTAATCATTGAAATTACTCAATATACAACTCTTAAAAAATTAAATATAAATTAAAAGTTCTACATTAAGAAAAATAATATCCATAAATATTAAGGTTTAAGATTTTATATTAAAAATGGTGTAAAATATCTTATATGAGCAACTTATTGTAGAGATGGTTGATAAGTAAAAATATGTTGAGATAAATGATGAATAAATATATTATGCTAAAATCCAAATCAGACTTGTATATAAATAAAAAAGTTGGATAGTATATAAGAAAAACAAAACATTAATTTTTAAGATTTTATGTTGAAATTGATGTCAAGTAAGTAACTCATACATTAATCAAGATTCATATTTTTAATTTATACTAGGATGACAAAATGGGTATGGACTATAGTCCGTGGGTGAGCTCGTCAAAATATAGGTTGGATTTTTTAACCTGTTGGCCTAGTGTGTTTTTTATTTTTTAATTAAAAATTAAAATAAAATAATTTAAGAAGTTAAATTTTTTTATTATATTTTTAAAGATTTAAATATATAATAGTATTATAATTTAAATCATTAACATGTACAAATTAAATTTCAATTCTTAATTATAATATATAATTATTTTTATTTATCTAATTAAAATATAATAAATTAGTCAATTAAAAATTTAAAAATATTTATGTTACTAAATTTATTTTTAATATATATATATATAAACAAATTTTAAAAATTTCATTAGAATATTATTAAATCTGAATTTAATTCCTTTTTTATAAACATAAATATAAAACAAATGCAAAATGTGTATCTAAAAAATTATGATATCAGATGGAAGAAGCACAATTAATATTGAAAAAAAATTATAAACAAAAAAAAGTTGTATTAAAAAAAATCATATTTCAATTTATTTAAGACAGTGTTGAAATTTAAAAAAACAATTATCTTTAACCTAAAACATTAAAGAAAATAAGACTTTCTACTTAAGATATCTTCATCAATAAGGTGATAAGTTTATGACATGTCTTATAAGACATTTCCATTATAATATATTGATATAACATAAAATTTAAGACTTTGATTTCACTAAGGAGAACAAATATTTTTGCAACAATTAAATGGAACATGAATTATAAGGTGTGGGTGAGTCTTTTAAGACACTTGTAATAGAATGAAAATTACAAAAATGTCTTAAAAGTGATGTATCACATTAAAACCCGTAAAAAGTGAATCAAAACTTATAAAAACCTTAGACTCTATTACACGAATAAATTTAAGTATGCTGACATAACATGAAATTTTAGATTTTGGACGGTCTTAGATAAAACTCCCAGTCATAAAAAATAAAATAATATTTTCTGTGTTAAAAACACGTTTTTTTTGCTAATAAAGTAAAACATTAATTAAAATGCGAGTTTTATAAGAGTCTTGTATTGGAGTAAAAGTTTAAAAAAAAGGTTCTAAGAATAATATGAGGGAGTAAACCCAGGAAAATAAAATGACTTTTATGATATGATAATTTTTGTAATGGAAATAATCGTATTGTTTTTCGCATCCGGATAATTATAATTTGACAACGTTCTTTTTTACAACATTTTTTTGACAATATCTTAATATCATCTACGTGTTATTCTATGATTGATCTAGTATTTATGATTATTATTATTGATTGTGAAAATTTTTTGAATCAATCACATGATTAAACGCACATGATATTAAAATATTGTCCAATATCATTCATTTTATTATTTAATTTGCCGCATGTAATTCAAGTTGAATTTCTAATACAAATAAATGTATATTTGTGTCAAGATACAATTAATTTTAAGTTAGTTACACACATATATATATATATATATATATATATATATATAAAATTAAAAATCATTGAGCCTTCATTGTTCATAATTTTTTATTATTTTCTTTAAAAATTTATATAAATATAAATTTAATAGTAAAACCAATAATTTTAAATTCAAATTTTATTCTGGGAAAAAAACTTGCATAA